TTTCTATCTGTGTGCAAAATAAAATCATACACATTCTCAGAGAATATTGTTAAAGAAATTTAATTCTGAAAATAAAGTTGTTCTTTCAGATCAAGAGAGAAAAGATGAATATTTGAGATAAAAACAAGCCTATACATTGTCATCAAGCAAATTTCCTATCATCACAAACTCCTACCAAACCCTCAACATTCAATCATAACTTACAAATATTGTCAGAGCAAGTAAAATTTTTCCAGCTCATCATTTTGTGCCTCATAAAGTCCAATTAAAAATGTGACAGACCCAAATAATCTTCATGTGTACATGGTTGTACAACAGTATGAAATAATTAAAAAAGTTTGTGACCTAAAGTTCCTTTAGCCACAAAATACAAATTGTGTTAAAATGTGTCTGCTTTTTATATCATGTCAAACATGAGATATTTCCTGTTTCTGCAGATTTCTCACAATCCTAACAGCAGTTTTGCTTCATCACAAGAGATGGTATTTTGGAGGCTTCATGGTTGTTGTTTTTTATAAAGAAACCTCTAGTTCAATTGAATATTTCTGTTATATATAATAAACATTTCAGAAAAACAGTATGTGGTTCAGAATCAATTACATAGCAGAAAAACTAAATTGTACACAGCTGAATAAATAAAGTTTTACTGCTTTTATAATTTTTTGTTGAAAAACTTTTTTCACTGGAAACTCTGACACTTTCTAAGTGTTTAAACTGACAACTCAGAGAGCCAAGCAGTCAAATCTCATCTGAATGTATAATTATGGATAATTTCTCTCTTGCAAATTATCCATAAGAATTCCATACAATGTAAAAAACTGTTTGTGCTTCTGTGGCACCTAAACTGCTGCAGTATGTTGAGGTGACAAATCATCATCAGTGTTGCTGATCTCCTGATTCTTAGACGTCACACAGCAACACAATGAGCTCAAAACCCTGTCAACCGCACTTTTCCTCAGAAAAATACACATAGCTGAGTCTGCAAGAGGACTAAGAAAAATACCAATTGTAACCCCAGTAAAGACAGGAAAATTTTCATAGGGTTTTTCCACCAGAAAATATATCATGTTGGGGATGAAAAGTAGAACATATATGAGCAACACCGCAACCAGAATTGAAACAATTCGACGTTTTTCCTCAGCAGAGACACTCCGAACTTCAGACAGAGCTTTAATGGTCCCAACCAGGCAGAAGATGAACAAGAGAAGAGGTGGGAGGAGACCAGCAGCCTGAATGATTTTTACAATATGAAATTCCAAAAGCAAATACATGTCAATGTTATTAAGAAAAGAAAAGATCCAGACTGCGACACAGACCAACACAGATGTCTTGATGTTTCTTCTAAATCTGTACCACAGCGGCTTGGCAATGACCAGATACCTGAAACAAAAGATACCTGCTGTCAGACATTACTGATGTAATAATGTCAGAAAGAAACATGTAAGTAAATAATATGCATGTAAACAGTCATTTACCTTTCCAGGGAGATACACATCATGAATCCAATACTGGCTGAAATGCTAACATCTAAGGCAATAATATAGAAAACATGAGGTTCGGGTGAAATCATAGGAATTCTGCTGCAGTACTGCATGATATCAGAAATCAGAAGGTTGAAGATGTAAACTGGAGCACCATGATCTTCTTTCACCTGCAGGGGAAACAAAATGAAAAGTGAACAAAAGCTGAAAATTTAATCTCAAAATTTAAGATGATTCTGCTTCCACGATTGTGCTTCTGTGGCACCTAAACTGCTGCAGTATGTTGAGGTGACATATCATCAGTGCTGCTGATCTCCTGATTCTTAGACGTTACACAGAAACAATGAGGTCAAAAGCCTCATTTTGTTGGGCTTGTGTTGATCAAAACTTTTGATTTCATTTTGATCAACCCTAACCCTTAGATCCAGGTTCAGAGAAAACCAATATTATTAAAAAGAAACTGCATACCACAACGAACATACAGTTAACATACAGTTAACAAGAACTCACCTTTGATAAAACAGCAAACATGGCCACCAGAGTCAGAGGAAGTCCGGCACAAAGGGTGATCAAATTTCCCCAGTGCAAGATTTGCAAAGATACTTTGTCCTCTTCATAAGAACTGTTATTGGTTCTGTTAGATGCATCACTGTAGCTGAAGATGTTCTGATTGAGGGAATCTGCCATTCTTCAATATCAAACCTGCAAAATAATGAATAATGGAGACTTGATTTTTCTCTTAGCTTAGTTCATAAACGTAATATTAAATTTATATTTAAGGGGAAATCCAAGAAAAGCTCTTTTGTAAGGAATCTGTTTTAGTACAAAAATAAAGCACATATGTTAAAAATAAACATTGTAATTTTTGAAAGCAATGAGTGGAAAATTATCCAAATGTAAAGTGTGTCCTCAGTTTCTACCTTATTCTACTGGCATGCAGGTAAATGTTATTTCTAATGTGTTTAATTTCCATGAAATTAAACACAATTAACATAATATTCAGCAGCGTGTAAAATTAATGCATCTTTCTTTCATTTCTCTACATTAAAAGAAAAAAAAAATACCTTTCAAAGTTTAAATGTCTTGAAATGATTCCTGTTTTCAGCCAGTTATCCTTCTCATCTCAACGGTCTGCAGCCTGAGCGATCTGTAGATTTACTTATGTCAGTGTCTGACCAATCACATCTGACTTCTCTAGTAAAGGAAATGGGCGCAGAGATGATGTCATAAGTCTATTTTCTTTAGAAACAGGAAGACAACGTCTTCTAAGATCACATTTATTTTAAAACTCAGTTCTCGCGAACCAACTTGTGTAAAATTTTATTCAGTTAATTTTTCTAGCACCAATTAACAAGAAATATCCTCTCTATGTTCTTTGCAAAAAAAAAAAAAGTTCACAATCACTTCAATCCCTTTTTTCACCTGTTAAACTTAAATGCAACAGATTAAATCCTTCATGTTTTGGACTCTGCTGTCATCTCTAACTTTAGAAACGGAAAGCTGCAGTCATGGAAACATTTCACATTAACTTAGATACACATGTATGTAACAGGGACAAGTATGGAGGTGCTGGGTGCAGGATGTTTGTTGCTTCATCACCATGTTGGTTCTTCCATCTTCCTTTATGTGCTGTTAGCTGGTGGCTGTGACTCAACATGTGTTTGGTCAACTGTGGGCCACAGAGAGACTGGAGCTGCTAGCATAAAAACAAAGGATAAAAGTGGAGCTGGGATGTTGGGAAGGGGTCTGTATCCACGTCAACATCAAATTATGTTTAATAAATAAGACAGCTGCAGCCTGACATGTATAAAAAGGAGAACAGTGAAAGCACCATGACATCATAAACTGTGAAATTTCACGCAACCATTATGTCCAGTTTGACTTGATAAAAAAAAAAAGACCACAGCTCACATAATTACAGCACTGCAGAAATCTGGATCAAGAGAAACTCACAGCAGAAGTGAACTGTCATACATGCAGGTATTATTGGGAGCTATGTGGCAAATATTTGTTCTTTATGGGCAAATCAAATCTAGCTAGCAAGTGGAACTCATCATGAGAAGACGGCAGAAATGGACGGTGCATGGAGTTCTGAAAAAAAATAACTAATAAAATACAGAACCAGGTTAGGCGCTTCGCAAAGCTTCTGTTCCCATGATGCATTGCGTCAGGAAAGCCATCTGTTAAAAATCAAAACAAAAGATCCCTCTCCCTTTCTTTGGTGCATTTACCCATTTCGTTAAGATTTCTTTCCAGTTTACGGCCACTCTGTGTTTCAGGTCTTAAATCATCAGACATCCTCACCCAGAAGACCCAGCTGAGGATGATCGGTGCCCGGTTTGTGTCCAAATTAATTCATTATGACATTACTACAATAGCTTTGTATCATATTCTATGAAAGCTACATACTGCAACATGTGACTGCAGATTGGTCATTTTATAGCCACTGGGTTAACGTGTTATGAAATATGAGGTATTAAAAACTCAAGAAGCTCATGAATGAATAAAGATCCAGATTGTTCACAAATGTATATAAAAAAAACAACTTCGAAATTATTTATACCTTATTTTAAGTCAAGTTTAGTGTATAGACCCATTCAATAAGTTAGAATATTATTGAAAAGCTCATTTACTTCAGTAACTTTATCACTTTGTGTAACACATTGTTGCTTAAATGTACACAGATGGACAATAACCTCTGATTATGAGGATTTTCTACTTATAGCTGATAAAAATTTGATAATGTTAGAATATTACATCAGGCCATGTCAAAATCCTTAGAGGCATTTTTCTCTGGTTGTAGGTTAGAAAATAAGATAAAGTCCTTAAATTTGGAAATAATCCATTGAGGATTGAAAGTGTCACAGTTACCACAAAACTCGGTTTATTTAATAGCTTTTAAAAGAGTAAAAACTATCAAAGGAAAAAAAATGTGAATGAGAAACCAAGAGAAGCTTTTTCACTGTCAGCCAATCTTTCCAACATTTTCACAGAGTAACAGGTGAAAAGACTTGAAACTATTCAGATTCTGGGACAGATTAAAGGTCAAAATGTATCCCACATGTAACCTCCACAACCTGACATTTAAAACCATTACAGTGTAGCAGATTTACAGCTGTAAGAAATTAAAATGAAATGCTCAAGTCTGACTTCAAGAAGCAGCAAAAAGTAAAGAATGAATCTGTTACAAAATATAATGGCTGTAAAAGGAGCTACAATCATCAACATACTTCTAAACTAAATATAAAAATCAAGATTACTTCACCTCAGCACACCATAACATGCTTTCAGGTTTGTGGTGCATGAATACTGCTTCCCTGTGTTTGGTTCTGGTTCTGGTGATACAGAGCAGAACCAGAACCAGGAGACCTGAGGGGTCTGGAAGTTTGATACAACAGCAGCAGATCTTTAATGTATTGTGGTGCTAAACCGTTCAGTGATTTATAAACTAACAACAGTATTTTAAAGTCTGTTCTCTGAGCTACAGGGAGCCAGTGTAGGGACGTTAGAACTGCTGTGATGTGCTCCATCTTCCTGGTTTTAGTCAGAGCGCCAGCAGCAGCTCCTGGATCAGCTGCAGCTGAAGGACTTATTTGTTAGGCCGACCTGTGAAGACGCTGCTGCAGAAATCAATGCAACGGTAAACACATGGATGGGTTTCTCTAGATCTTGCTGAGACTTTAGTCATTACATGTATTTTCATGCCAAGAAACATTTTCTAGCTCATAATACTTTCTCCCATGAATTCCAATAATAAAAAAAATATGGCAGACTAAAATAAGCTTCATGAAGTACATGGTTGTGTATGATTTTCAGATGGTGAATAGTCCAAAAATTGCACTAAAAAGGCTTGGATAGAAAATGTTGCTGTCGTCACAAATATTAAGTCATTTCCTGTTTCTGCTCAGTTCTGAGAAACTAAACAGAAGTTTTTGTTGACCACAGGTAGAGATGGGGGTTTTTTTTCCATTGAAAAAGATTCTTCACCCTAGTAACTCTGTAGATAATGAAAACTAATAGTATATCAACATTAATATATATATATGAACAAAAAAAATAGAATTGTTGGCAGAATTCAAATGCAACAACTTTAAATCATCCCACCTGGGAGTAATGTTTTTTTTTTTTTATTTCCCTTTGTCTATTGATTTAAAGAACTCTCTGATTAATTAATTAATTACTGATTACTGATAATTATTTAATTACTGATTAATTACTCTCTGATTCTAGTCTGATTAAATATTTTTCTACAAATTGAATATTTCAAAAAAATTCCACTGATTTTACACGTCTACTTTGTTTCATGTGGATATACTGTATGTGGTTCAGAAATAATACAATTAATCCACAGCTAAAACTAGTCGCACCATTTTCAGCATTTTTTGATAAACTTTTTGAAATAAAAACTGTTTATGCAACACCTTCTGTTGTACCCGATTAAATTTGATGTTTATTGAAAAAAATGTCAGATACAGAAGTTATGAATCTGAGAATCAAGCAGCTTGTCATCTCTTCAGTTGTTTTAATTTTCAAAGGAAATTAAAGGATAATGAAAAAAATCAAAATAGATCATTCAAATGTAATATTTTTTGCAAGTAATCCATAAGAATACTTTAAGTTGTGACGATATTTATCCACCTAAACAGCTGTAGTTTGCAGAGCAGACATGTTGTCATCATCAGTGCTGCTGAACTTCTGATTTTCAGACATTTTACAGGAACACAGTGAAGCCAAAATCTTATAAACTTCTTCAGAAAAATATACAACACTGAGTCTGCAAGAGGACTTAGACATTGACAGACTGCAGCCACAGCTTCAAAAATGACATTTTCTTTCACTTCCTCAAAAACTAAAAATACAAACAGGCAGAAAAAGTAGAATATATGTAAGCAAAACCACAACCAGGACTGAAAAGATTTGATGTTTCCTCAGCAGAGACACTGCGAGTTTCAGACAGAACCTTAAAGGTCCCAACCAGGCAGAAGATGAACAAGGGAAGAGGGAGGAGGAGAAACACACCCAGTATGGTTCCACTGGTATTTAGCTCAAGGGGAAGATAAACGCTCAAGATGAAAATCACAGAAAGGATCCAGACTGCAACGCAGACCAACTGTTACGCCCCCAAGGTCTAGGGCTTTAGAGGCAGCAACATAAAATGTGTCCAGGGAAACAAGTGGAATGTAAAAAATAATTACAACAAAGGATTTCACAAAACCAAATCACAATACAATTTTAACCCAATTAATGCAAAACAAAAGGGATGAACAAACTCAAGAATGTGAAGTGCAAATTAAAGTTACAAAATGTTCAAACAAACTCAAAACAACCCAAAATGGGAAGAGAGAAAAAAGAAAAACACACACAAAGGGAGCACCAAGCCTCCCAAACACAACTGCTGGATGGAGAAAACTGACTACTCCAAAGCCAAAACAGTTTAGCAGGACGTGCAAGCTTCCTACAAGCTGGCCCACTGGAGGAATGAATTCAGGAGCCTTTAATCCGGTCCAGGTGGGCCTCATCAGTGACTGATTGGCTTGCAATCCCTCTGCTGGTCCAACAGGATCACTGCTCTCTTGCAGCCTTCAGGCAACCAATCAGGAAGGTGTTCTCTCCAGCTGAACCTGCATGACAAAAGAAACCTGCACAGCCTCTAGAGGCCAGCGGCCGTAACACCAACACAGATGTCTAA